GCCACCCATTCCTTCCCGAACGAGAGCAGCACAGGCAGCCTCCGTGTGGGCTGCCAGCAATGAGAAGTTTGGCCCCGTGGCCCCTACGTGGTCCAGAGGCCATGCTGATGTACAAGAGAAAGACAGCAGAGTTGCCCAGAGTACCCTCCCTCCCACACTGGGGTGCTAGAGGGGACAGCCAGGGCCACTCTGGACACTGCCTGCAACCAACGGGCTGAGCCCACAGTGCGCTGGAGCCGAAGCTCAGTCAGTTACCTTTTGACTTGCCTGGGATCCGAACCTTGTCGCCTAAAAGAAAAAGTGAAGGCAGCTTTTTGGCAGGATGGCCCCAGGACAGCTGGTGTCCTGACGCTGGCATTTCCTGGCAGCTCCGAGGGCCCAGAGCACCATGGGTGGGCTGGAGTCAGCACCAAGGCCAGCGCCACGGCAGTGGGGGGTGGAGGTGAAGTGCCTGCAGCTCCCTGTCCAGGCTGGGCAGCCAGGCCCAGGGCCCACCTGCGCAGAGAACACCCCCACCTGTGTTGGGGACGGCCACCCAACACTGCCTCCCACAGCTCTGCAGGAACCCCCAGCCCGGCCCACTGACAGCAGGATACTGCTGTGGCACCGAGAGGAGGAGGAGGTCTTGCCACAGACAGTGCAGCTCAGAAGGCCACAGCCCTCCAGAGACGGAGCCGTGGGAGCCGGACCCTGGGATGCCTGGTTTGCTGCCCTGCCAGGCGTCACCAGGACACGGGGCAAGTGCCATGTGGAACACTGGGGAGGGGATGCCAGCCTACTTGTGCCCAGGGCTTCCAGACAGTGGTAGGCCCCGGCAGGCCTGTCTGCTCAGAGCCGGCTCCACCCCTGCCATCCGCTCTCCCAGATAAACCCCCTTTCAGGCCAAGGAGCAGGTGGTGGAGACAGAGCCGAGGCCCTTGAGATGCTGCTCTGAAGCCGTGCAGTGGGAATGGGGAACACAGGGTGTGACGACCTCCTTGGGGTCCTGTCTGTGCTCTGCTCTCATCAAGCAAGCATGCCCACAGGAAATGTGCCAGCTCAAGGAGAAACACCTGCGTGGCAAGAGCACCCACGTCCTTGTCTGAAGACCTGGGGACCTCGGACAGAAAGCCCGTGTTCCTGACACCTGCCAGCCCCAGACAGCCCTGGACCCATCTCTGTCTTCCACTGCTCGGAGAACCCCAGGACAGTGGCAGCCAACATGTGTTATGCAGGTACTTACGCCCTCTTTGGCCGCTGAGGCCAGGCGGCTCGCACCGGTGGTAAAATTGCTCCAGCCCTAGGAAGGACAAAGGACCCATGAGCCCCCTGTGGTGCTGTGCTCGGCTCAAGCACTTGACGGATGAGCCTTGACGTCAGGCCAGGGACAGCGCTGCAAGGGTACCTGTCACTCCTGCCTGGGCAAGGAGCATGCCAGAGGCCCTGCGTTGTCCCTCCACTAGAGCCCCAGCCTGTGAGCACCATGGCCTGAGGACGGACCCAGAAGGGTCCAGCTGCTGCAGCCCCCACCTTATGCCCCTGCCCTAGTGTCCTCCTGCCCCTCCAGGGGCCACACACGGGGTGGCCAGAGGTCATAGGCAGCACCTGTCTCCCTCCAACTTGGCTAAAGCTACTCTTGCCATGGTGGTGAAGGTGCTGGATCTGACATGGCTGACTCCGATTCAAGTGCCACACCCAGCAGCTTGAAAATCATGCCCGGTGCACGTGCACGTACGCTGAAAACCCTGACATGAGACTGGAGAAGGGACTGCCGGGTGGCCATTCCCTCCCTGGGGAGCGGTTTCCCACTTCCTCCATTCTCTGTCTTCCTCCTCCAAGGTACATGCCCTATGGCAAATCCCTAAAAACAGGAAAGAGGGAACCGAGGAGCTGAGAAAGCAAGAAAGCGTCTTCCCCCCCCCCCCCCCAGGCAGGAAGAGGTACACCGGGGTCGGTGCGTAGACAAACCCACGCTGCGGCTGTGGCTAGGAAAACGCTCTGCTTCCCTAGAGAAGAGCTGGCCACGACACGAGGAAAGCAGTCAGGCCCCAGGAGGCCTGCCAAGGTCTCCGGGCTGCCCGGGCCACTGAAGCGCACGGGAGCTCCTGGGAGGTGAGGGTAGCAGGTTCTGACCAAGAAACTCACTCATGGTGGGATTCTGAGATGTCCCCCCCGAGATGTCGGTCATTGCAAAGAAGAGGGCACACAGTGGGGTCTCCTGTGGCCCCAGGCCACCACTGCACCAGGGCTTCAGGCTCTGCCTCGGCTGGCGTCACAGCCATGCTCCTTGCATCTGGCCCCGCCCACTTGCAGCCAGAGGCCCGGCATGGCAGTGTGGAAAGCCCACCTCCTGGACCCCGGTGCATCACAGCAGAGTCACACCAGCCCCACCTGGTCCCCCGGGCTCTGTGTTCACCCCCAGACCACGGTGCTGCAGTGGGCATGTTTAACCATCAAGCTTCCCGGAAAAGTGAGTCTGACAAACTGCTTTTGTGATGGGGAAGCCACATGGGCCGAGGGTGAGCCCTGGACCCACACACAGCTCCCAGGACCCAACACCCAGTGCCAAGCGCCAGGGCAGCAGGATGGCACGGGCAGCCCTAGGGCTGGCTTCCTGGAGCTGCCCCTCGCAGGGCCCTGCTGCACAGGGGTCAGCCATAGCCACAGGCACCCGGGAGGCCCACAGCTTCCTGTCCTGCTCAGCACACCCCTTGGGAGTAAGGCAGGGAAGGTGCCAGAGACCTCCATGTCTCCCAAGGGTGGAGCCTCGTGGGTTGGAAATATATCCCCTATGGCCAAGGCAGGTGAGTGACAGAACACCCATGTGTCCAGGTAGTTCCAACCACATTCTTAAAAGGAGACGCAAGAGGACCAGCAGGTGGTGTGATGGTTAAGGTGCAGGACACTCCCACATGGTCGACCATGTTTGTGTCCCAGATCTGGTGGCTTGCTTTCTCACTTTCCCTCTCTGTCTCTGTGTCTTTCCCTGGTCAGATTAAAATAAATGAGTAAGTAAAATTTAAAAAAAAAAAAAAGAGATTCATGGGGACCAGCAGTTGGCATAATGGCTATGTCGCTGGACTCCCACGTTGTCAACCACAGTTCAAGTCCCAGACCCAGTGGCTTAAACTCACGGCAGGCGCGTGTGCGTGCGTGCCCAAGATCCCAAGAGGAGAATGGAGGAGAAGGGATTGTGGCGTGGCCATCCCCCCTGGGGGGGTGATTTCTCACTTTCTGTTTTCTGTCTATCTTTTTGGCAAGTGCACGCACCCTATACAGAAAACCTCTCAAAAATGAAAAAAAAAAAAAAGGGAACCAGCAGTTAGCGTAATGGCTATGTCGCTGGACTCCCACGTAGTCGACCGTGGTTCGCGTCCCGGACCCGGTGGCTTGAAACTCACGCCGGGCACGTGTGCGTGCGTGCCCAAGATCCTGAGAGGAGAATGGAGGAGAAGGGATTGCAGCGTGGCCATTCCCCCCTGGGGGGTGATTTCTCGCTTTCTGTCTCTGTCTCTCTCTGTCTAGCAAGCGCATGCGCCCTATAGCGAAAAAAAACTCTCAAAAAAAAAAGAAAAAAGAAAAAAAAAGATTCCAGCATGTGTCCCGGGACCTGTGATCAGCCCACCACGTGTGCTGTGCCCTCACCGAGTACAGGGATGACATGGCGTTGTTGAGGAAGTCGTCCTCTCTCTTCGGGGGCACTGTGTTCCCGAAGCCCACGTAGCGGCTCTCCTGGGCTCTGAAGTGAAGCACACACAGCGGCTGACACAGGGGTCCCCCCCTATGGCCTGAGACCCCCAGAGGAGAAAGGCCAGGCCTCCGGGACACGCCAAGCACATGTGCCACTACATGTGCCATCTCCTGTGGTGACCTGAGCCTCCGTGAGGCCAGCAGCCCCGGGCCACCCTCTGACACGGCCCTCCCTGCCCCCTGGCCAGACCCCAACGCCCAGCGCCACCAGGGGATGACAGGGCAGCTCAGCCACGAAGTGTGGGGCGGTCGCTGCTCAGTGTGCCGCGGGAGCCAGCGTCAGGTCTCCCCTTCCCTCCAAGCCCACCGTCCAGGCTGGCCAGGCTCCTCGCTGTCAGACACTGCGTCTCACACACGGCAGCCCACCCTGGAGGAGCAGTGCAGCCGACGGGGCTGTGTGCTCCCAGGGCCTCCGCCCAGACCCTCACCCCTGATAGGAGCCGAGGTCGCCGTTCAGCCAGTCTTCAAAGGCCTTGTCTGCTGAGGCGGTCACCACTGGTGGCTGGCCGGAGGCTCTGAAATCAAGAGCCAAGGTCAGTGAGGCCGACCTGGGGACAGAGCAGGGCAGACGGCCACAGCGGGCAGCCATGCGAGCAGCGGCACAGGAAGCACCAAGGCACAGGAAGCACCAAGGCCAGCTGCCCTCCCACTGTTCCAAAGGCCCCTGGGCCCCTGAAGTCCTGGCTGCACTGGCCTCACAGACATGGGGGGCAGCAGTTCTGTGCTGTTGGCGGTGGAAGCAGCTGGGACAGGCCAGGGAGGAGGGACAGGTGTTACAGGTGTGCTGGGGACCTCGCAGCAGCACCTCGACAAAACTGCCAACAACAGGGAGGCGGGCGGGGGGTGCTCTTGTGGCCCTGTCACTGCCTGATGATCTCTGCAGCGGTGACCATCACAAGCTGACTCGCAGCGACGTGCTGACAAGCACTGGCCACACCCCCTGGGCCACGGCCTGCCTGCACACACCACGCATGCCTAGAAAGAGATGCACAGGGCCAGCCGGAGCGGGGACAGGGCCGGCCGGAGCAGGGACAGGGCCGGCCGGAGCGGATAACACTGCTGCTCAGGTGCAGCTTTGCCACAGGAGCTGCGACCGAGAACACACGCCACACCTCTGAGAGCTACTTTTCCCACTGGCTTTGGGACCTGGCTCCAATTGTGAACAGTCACCATCGCGGTGCAGGACACCCGGTGTCCTTGGGGACCCCGAGTCGCACCTAAGATGCCCCAAGCCAAGGGCAGTACTGGGGGCCCTCCAGAGGCCAGAAGAGGAGTTACCGGTGAGCGGTGGATGGCAGCGTCTTGGGCTGTGGGGGCGTCCAGTTCTGGGCAGGTGACAACTCCAGAGACCACTCTCTGCCTTCGGCCAGAGTGGCCACCTGCCAGGGCACACAGGGCAGTGAGCACAGGCGGTCCCAGATGGCTGCAGACACCGTGACCAGCCCCCGGGCGCAGCAGACAGGGCGCCCACATCAGCCTCCTTCGCCTGGCCAGGTGCTAGCGGCTGCCCCTGCCCAGCGGAGCTCCACCCGCGCCCCCCCGCCAATGACGGGCCTCACGGCCTTCTCCCAGGGCTGCCCGACATGTGCAAGTGGCCCGCGGATCGAGGTCCTTTCTTCTCCAGGGCTGTCCCTGTCAATCTCAGGCCACCTGTTTCCCTCCAGGTAGAAGGCCCCGACTCGGGTGTGACAGAGACCTGGACTACACACGGCCCTGCGGGCACAGCACCCACAGATGTGGCTGCCCCTCTCGGGCCTCACCTTGTCCCTGAAGAGGGCCGCGGCCCTGCTGTTGTACTTCTCCTGCAGGGACCAGCAGGGGTCGTAGTCGTCCTGCGCCTCTAGGAAGGTTCGAAACTTGGCGTTGCCGCCCACTCTCATCTTCTCCAGCTCGATGTCCTTCCACTTGTCCATGGTCACCGAGCGCACGAAGCTGGAGGCCAGACGCTGACCAAGTTACGAGCCCCAGCCCACACCCGTGTGCACCCGTGCCTGTGCAGGGCAGAGCCAGAGCACCAGCGTGCCCCACGGAGGCCCAGCAACGGGGCGCAGCCGAGCGCCCCTGGGCTTCGGAGGCTGAGCGCCAGCCACTGACCTGAGGTGCACCCCGAGCCCGCGGTGCTTCCCTGAACACTCCAGGCAGATCCAGATGCCGTAGGTCACGCTCACCCACTGCGGATTGAACGCGCCGCACTCGAAACAGACCTGCGAAGAGGCACAGGCAACTTGCAGACAGCTCGGGCAGTCCCGGGGCGGGGCAGGGAGATGCAGGCAGCGGGAGGCCCTGGACGAGAGCCAGTGCTAACCAGCCCGGCGGGCCGCCTGAGGTCTGAGGGCACGGGACAGAGCCAGTCGGAACCTGCCCAAGGGGAGAGCCTCAGTGTAAGGCAACACGTGGCCAGGAGTGCCGAGCAGGTGTCCTCAGGGCACCGTGGCCGAGGAAGGTGGTGGATCCCGGCCGGGCCCGCACTGAGTCTCAGGCACGGCTGACGGTCTGCCTGCCCGC